CTTACAGGATAACCCGCTACACTTACAATATAACCCGCTACACTTATAGGATAACCCGCTACACTTACAGCATAACACGCTACACTTACAGCATAACACGTTACACTTACAGCATAACCTGCTACACTTACAGTCTAACCCGCTACACTTGCAGTCTAACACGCTACACTTACAGAATAACCCGCTATACTTACAGAATAACACCCTACACTTACAGAATAACCTGCTACACTTACAGTCTAAAATGCTACGTCTAACCCGCTACACCTACAGGATAACACGCTACACCTACAGGATAACACACTACACTTACAGGATAACACGCTACACTTATAGGATAACACGCTACACTTACAAGATAACCCTCTACACTTACAGTCTAACCCGCTACACTTATAGGATAACCCGCTACACTTACAGTCTAACCCGCTATACTTACAGCATAACACGCTACACTTAAAATCTAACCCGCTACACTTACAGTGTAACCCGCTATACTTCAGTGTGGTACCGCTACACTTACAAGATTACCCGCTATACTTATAGTGTAACCCGCTACACTTACAGTGTAACTCGTTACATTTTCAATGTAACCCGCTACACTTACAGGATAACCTGTTACACTTACAGTGTAATCTGCTACACTTATAGTGTAACCCGTTACACTTACAGTATAACCCGCTATACTTATAAGATAACCCGCTACACTTGGAGGATAACCCCCCTACACTTGTAGTATAACCCGCTACACTTACAGTATAACACATTACACTTACAGGATAACCCGCTACACTTGCAGTGTAACCCGCTACACTTACAGGATAACCCGCTATACTTACAATGTAACTCACTACACTTACAGTGTAACTCGCTACACTTACAGGATAACCCACTACACTTACAATGATTTAATGCAAAACAAATAATGCAATGATCCAAGTCTTGGCAAACATCCTGTTTAGCTCCTCAGCTTGTCATCAACCAAAGCAATTGACAAAACATTAAAATACCAACCAGAGCACCTAATTCATGCGGACAACAGAACTAAAATACCAACCAGAGCACCTAATTCATGCGGACAACAGAACTAAAATACCAACCAGATCAAGTAAAATACCAACCAGACCATCACAATTGGCAAACTATATACAACGACCGAAAAGTATATACAACGACCCAAAAGTAATTGACAAACCATATACAACGGCCATTCAAGTGCAGACTCAAAAAACACACTACAACGGCCATTCAAATTCAAATGCAATTGACAAACTATATACAACGACCCAAAAATATATTTATACAAATACTTTACAAAACAAATATTGGATATCACAATTGGCATCTAGCATTCAGGGAATTGGTCTTGAAGATTCCTGAAAGCAAAATATAAGCGGATCAAAAGAATAATAGAGCAAATATAAGCGGTTCAATGAACATTACACTTAACGAAAATATACCTTCAGATAGAAATAGAGCAACGATACGAGCTCTATGTCTTGCACAATCCTTTTGGTTAATAGACATTGGTTGCCCGGAAACGAGGCTAAACATGTATGCCATCAAGAACACCCCGCAATCCAAGCTACTACAAGTTCAAATGTTTGCACTATCAATATAACACATGCACAAATGGGTGATGATGAGCAAAAACATAGAGCTATCTATCTGTCCGTCCAAAACTTCAAGAAAAATACTCATAATCACCTGATTCTCATCATACCAAGAAATGCAACAACATAGTTCAACATTGAGGTAAATAAGAAATTTTAAGCTGTATTATTTTTCATCGTAAACGCTGTCATTGGTTCATCATACTCAGAAAGTTATCCACCCTAGTCCAGCTGAGGAGAAAGTAAAAATACATTTTAGTGCGCATCTGAAACAACTCACACTTAGTGATTCCCCTTTTACAAATGAAATGGTATTTTATTCTTGGAATCAACTTGTAATCATCTTCGTACAGGGAGATTGCTTTAACTAAAAATCTAAAGCACCTTACGTATGGTAAAAAACCAATTCTCTCCAACTAAGTCAAAAAATCCAATGAAATTTCCAATGGTGCTCACCAGCACGGAGTCGTCGATGAGAGCTGAGTCGGGCGATGACGACGGGCGATGACGGGCAACGACGACGGCGATTGATCACTGCGAAGACGACAGGCGACGACGACTGCGAGAGACATCTCACGGCGACGACGGAGGATGACGGCAACGGTGACGGAGACGGTCACGAGAATGGGGGGTTTCAGTTTTTCAATTAGGGCAGAGAGTTGAGAAGGGGGAAATGAGGAGAGAGAGTGAGGCACTGGGCACTGGTTTATATGAGGAGAGAGATGGGGGACTGGTTTCATGGTCCTTTCTTCCTTTCTTCTTCGATTTCTTGGAGGGGGCATGAGAGGTGGGATCGGAGGAGGAAGACAAAGACTTGAGGATGAAGGAGGAAGACGAAGATTTGAGGAAGAAGGCAAATGAGGAGAGAGAGAGAGGGGGGGACTGGTTTAAGTGGGGTATTGAAAGGGGTATGTTGGGTTTTTTATCATATTTATGTATAAATAGAGGTGGGATCGGAGGAGGAAGACAAAGACTTGAGGAAGAAGGAGGAAGACGAAGATTTGAGGAAGAAGGCAAATGAGGAGAGAGAGAGGGGGGACTGGTTTAAGTGGGGTATTGAAAGGGGTATGTTGGGTTTTTTATCATATTTATGTATAAATACAAGTGCTGTATATACTGTATTTTAGAAATTGGGTTTAAAGGCAAAAACAAAAATAAAATTGGGTTTAAGAATACAAAAAATAATGATTGGGTTTATAGGTAAAGATGAGTAAACAAATGGGCCTAGAAATAAAAAACCCTAAAAAAAATGGACGAGTGGTGCGTATATCCCCATTTTCTACTACAGTTGGGAGGGCAAAAAAGTAATTTAACAATAGATGCTTTTCTTTTCTTTCTCTTTTTTATTTTCTAGAATGTTTCATATATTATGTGAACATTTTATCTTTCTTTTCCTTCTCTTTCTCTTTTAGTTTTCTAGAAGGTTCTATACCACCATGAACATAGGATATGGACTCATATAATGACATATCTATTATATTTAAGATTCTAAAAGGAGTATAAAATCAAAATTAGAAGTTACATCAGTTCAAAACAAAAAATTTGAAGTTACTTTTAGGAAAAATAAATAAGTAATATGTACACCATCGACGATGCAATTTTTAGATATGCAAATTTGTTTCAAAAATATTTGCGCCTCTTGCACGTGCATCTGCACGTGTGATAATGCTAGTATATATAACACTGGAAGGAACCTCCAAACCCAGTTTCAGCAAATTATGCTTACAAATGATGTTGACATAATTTGATAAGTAGGCAGATTAATGTTGGGTTGAAGATGCCTAGTCACATTAACATGACAACGAATACTCAGCAACCTTATTGACAAACATGACACTGGGAATATGATAGTCAAAACTTTATGTAAATAGCTAACAAATGTCAAGATTCTACAGAAGTCTTCAACTTTGACGTCTATACAGTTCAAGATGGGAAGCTCCACAAAGAAAATGCAGCCGTGTTGAGCAAAAATGCTCGTCTCATTGTGGTACAGGGTGTATTATAACTCTCAATCTTCATTACTGGGTTTCGATTTAGGGGAAAAAGCTTTAAATAGTATTAGTATAATGCGCGTGCTTTGCACGAGAACATATCAGTTTTGTTTTATGTTTTTTTTTCAAATTACTTTTTATTGGTTGCATAATAATGAAATGACTTGTATAGCAATATAAATTCTGAACAATTATAATTTTATTTAAATGAATAAATTATACGATAAAACTGTGTATAAAAATATTGTATGATTTATTATTATAGTTTGGATAATTATTATTATTTATTCATAATTTATTAAAATAATTATAATATATAAAATAATTTCTTCTCTTTTAAAAATAAAACATAAAATAATTATAATACTATTAGTAACTATGTTTTAATTTAACAATTAGTTTATTACACTATTAATAAATAGTTTACTAAATTGTATAATTATTAAATTACAATGTAATTTATTAATTTAAAAAATACTATTAAAATCATTATACTATTAATACTATTACAAGTACAATAAATACAAATTATTTTTCATACTAGTATCATACTTTTAAAAGGCTAATAAGATGAAAGATAACAAATAGTCCTTTGATAAGCCCAAGTACATAATTAATAAAATGTTATATATCATTAGTGAATAATTAATTACAACTAATAACATATTTGATAATTATCAAACTTAAGAGAGTAAAAATAAAAATTAAAAACTTTTTGACAAGGTAATTATCTTTTATATGTAGTATAGAGTAAAAATAAAAATCAAAAATTTTGACGAGGCAATTCTCTTTTATATGCAGTGTAGGTTAGAGAACGCCAAACTTATATCTCACTGACAAAACACACGACCCTCAACAAACATTGTAACTTGAAGCTCTCAAATCTCACTATAATTTTGAAGTCGGAAAAAATGGTTTGTTTCAATTGCTATGCAAGAGAAAATTAACAAGGTAAAAGTAGAACAAAAACCAAAAGCCATAGCATTAGGGTAAGATTTTCATGATTGTGACATTTCAAGCTTAAGCAAGGAATGGCATTAACAGCGAAAACATATCATGAAATGAGAATCCTAACTCAATAAGAGTAAATAATTCACATTAAGAGAACTTAAAAGAACAAGCTACACAGAGAAGTCATCATGATGTTCGTAGTACATCAAAAAAAAAAAAAACGCAAATAATATTCCTAGACCACCAGATCAAAGGCAACCAGACCAAGTAGACATTGCAAGCTTTATCCATCAAAATAAAGCGCAGTCTTCGATAAACTGGACTTTCCTAAAACAAAATTAGCTAGATGCACACAGATAAACGCAGCACCCATCAAAAGTATTGCATAAAACTTAAAATACAAAATTGAATATAACTTAATCAAATTAGCTAGATGCACCAGAAATGTTCAACAACAAAATTGACGTGATTAGCACAGTCAGATCAAAAGTATTGCATAAAACTTAAAAATACAAACCAAGCGATGTAAAACTCATAAATGAGGTGGGCAGATATTCCTAAAACAAAACTCAAATGGTCGCTAGCTTATAAGGTTAGTACAAGAACAAACAAATTGAAAAAACCCAAGAAAGAAACACCCGAGGAAAAAACGAGATGTTCATTGGATATAACTTAATCAATCCATCTAGCGACTCCATCTTCTTCACCCACTGCTGCTAGAATCTCAATGCGAACATCCAATACAGCCTGCAGTATGCAAAGGGGAAAAAAATCCGGGTCATATCATATTTTACAAATCGACAGTACGTCATCAATAGTTGTAGAATATGTTCTTCAAACACTTAAATGCTTAAATTCTCTGAGCTGTATATAATCGTTTGCCTAAATACAGAAGTTTCGCAGAATATTTTATTAATTCCGTTGGTAGGTATTACATATAGACTATCAATACTCTCATCAATACAGTATCTTCCAGTTACTGCATTTCCGCAATTCTATCTTCTTCCGAGTTGCGTTAAACTATGCATGGCTATTGAATAGAATGGTAGAATAGAAATTGATGGTCACACCATTGTAGTATTGTGCAAGAAATTTTTTTCACGAGATTGATGATCCTTGGCAATTAGATGCACAAATCACCCCCAGGAAGTAGCTACAGATTAGTTTTGATTTTATGGAAAAAGAAGAACTTATTGACCAACCATATCGCTCATTATCAGGACCTCCAATGTATTCCACATTTCTCACAAAGTTCTGAACTAAAAATTTTAGAACACACGGATGACAAAAACCTCTGACTATAGGGCAACATGTCACAGAATGTTCCAAAAAAATTACGGTGGCCCAACCCAATGCCAGAAAAGATGACATTTGTGACCAGTGCTAATATTAGAAAATACAAGGCCATCTACGATGCAGGCGAGTTATAACCTTTCTGAAGTGCTTATTCAGGACAAACTCAAGGTACAGTTAGATTAGACTGATACTGTTAGATTAGACAGTTCACATTGAGCAAAAACACTAATATTGCTTGTGGCGGTAGACCCAAAAATATAGAAGTTGAGAAAAGGATATATGTAGATTTGGGATAACAGTCATCAGGTTGTTGATGTTAATATTAATGTTGTGAAGCACCATCGTTCAGCAACACCATTCCAAATCCACTCCCCCCCTATATTTTGATCATTTTGTCATAAATACTGGTATCCTGATAATTTCAAATTCACCACAGTGCTGTTGCCTCTTGACTCTAGTCAAAACCTTCATAAGCAACATTGTTTCCATCATAACTAGTTGTTTCCCAAGATGGAGTAAGACGAAAATTAAAAGGTAAGAGTAATCCAGCTACGCAAGACATGCCTGATAAATAGCCCTTCATATCCATAATATTTACCATATTAGAGAATGCTCGAGGTGTTTATAACAAATGTATTGCAAACTCCCACAAACTGCAGGATATCAAGCGCCTTTAAAAAGACAAAACGCAATACTTAGATTTCACAGGAGTGAAAGATAAAGAAGAAAATACACTTACCAGTGGGTTCCTACAGTTGACAAGTTTACATTCTTCCAGAAGAGAACCTTCCAACATCCAGTTCTCCCACACATCAAAACTATGACTTGCAAATACAAATTCCATTCTTCTATTTATCTGGTATGCCAGGAAACCAAACAGCATTATCACCATTATTTAAGAATACCAGGTTATATTTCAAATATATAATAGAAAATTTTATCAGAAAATATCATCTTAACTTCAAGAGGTAGGTAGTCCACGAGTATGTATGCATGTATGTGTATATGAAAATATCTAAGTGTGCACTATGCATGTGAGTTTATTTTGTGCATATTTTTTCTATGAGCATTTCATCGTATGTGTTTATTTGTATATTATGTGTACGCCTGCATAACAGTTCCATGGCAAACTAAAGGCCTGAGAATGTCCTTGTTATGCCATCTACAACTGTTGGATTGACAAGCAGAAGCAGCATACTCAAACAGAGCAGATCCATGGGTATGAAGCAAACCCGTCAATATCAGATTATTTAGCAGAAGGTCAAGGTGAAAAGTAGACTATTGAACGTTCGATCAAGTTTGGTGTTACACCTACTCAAGTTGAATTCACTCGTGCACCTGCCTTACCTTCTGACTTTGTCATGACTTGCACAAAGTTCTTGGTAAAACTGCCAACCCACCCCAACGGTCTTTCTTGTTATAAAGGTAAATCATAGGTATTAGGTGGTACTGAACTTAACATAAGAAAAGCTTGAATAGAATATTAGGAACATCATAAAATTTACTTCTGAAAACTTCAGTATTCACTACTTCATAGCTATTGATAGCACTCTGATGCTAGAACCAATAAAGCATGAAATGCTATATTAACTTCCTTTTTGGAGTGATCAGAGTACCACATAAAGTGAACCAAAGTTTACAATGAGCTTCTCTATAGTCTCAATTGAAAAACCGTTACAAGAAAACAAACCTGATTTATCCAATATATTAAGTTGAGTTTTCTCACTTTATGTGCCATCTTTCAATGTGAAGGATAAAGCGCTAGACATCCTATATGCTTGTGCAGATATCGTCAATGGGCTAGAACACTTAAACGAAGTTAAGAAAATATCACTGACCTGCAATAATTTTCCACCAGCTGCAAAAGATCGCAGTCCTAGTGTATCCTGCAGGAAAAATAATTTCCCATTGACAATGAGTAACTGCTACAATTTAACTAAGCTTACTTAACACAAGAAAAAATTTCATTACAATGCAGCAAATCTAAGAAAAAAATCTTCTCAAAAGTGGACCTTGCCAAAAAAATAAAATAAAAGATAAAATAAAAATATAACTTGCTTCTAAGATCAATGACCATTGTGCAATGAGATCTCCTTTCATATAAATAGAAGATTAAAAAAAGAAAATACCTTGCTTTTAAAATCAACAAGGAACTGTGCAGCAGGGTCTCGTTTCGTCACATTGGACAGTGTATCAAGAAACCAGCCACCACCAGGAACTCTTTGCCTAGACACATGCAACCCCAGACGATCTCTTGCATGCAAAGCTATAACATAACCATCTTTCAGCAGTTCACCAGATCTTTGACCGGGCCCTAACCTTGCTGTCACTGGCTTTTCAGGAGTTGACTCCAGAGTAGATTCAAAAGCACTGATAAGCTTATTTCTAGAATCATCTGGAGAAGCAAACCTTGAACTGGAACTTAACACTTGATCCCTGCCACTTATATCATCATCACGATTAGAAGCATAATTGCTACTACTTTCTACACCTGAATAATTATCAGATTTTTGTGGGGATCTACGGCGAGCAGGCCTCTTCTTTCCTTTCTTGCCAGATCTACTACGCCTTCCCTCAGACCTTGTTGAAACAGTTTGAGACAGACCTGAAACTTGTGACTCTTTTACTTGATGAATGCCAAATTTCTGATTGTTCGGAACTGACTGGCTTTCATTTGACTGCTGTTCACGACGGCAAATTTGCATGGCATTTCCTTTTACTTGATTATCCGATTGGTCTTCTTCATATCCAATGTCACTTTTTTCTTCATCTTCGTCAGAGACAGCATTAGTGGGAACGAGTCCATCAAGGAAAAATGAGTGCAATATAGAGAGAGCTTTCTCCCTTATCTCCATCCATACTTCTTCACTATATTCTGCACTCCGTGGAAGGATCAAAACATTTGGCATCTCTCGCACCTAAAATCAGATGATCTGAGAGTTAAATTTCTACCTAAAGCAAATATTTGGTACAACAAATATCTTCTCTAGAATCAGAGAATCTACAACTATATATAGATCAAATAATAGTGAAGAACAGGCCAAGCGTCCAAAAAAATAACAGTGATGAACAGGCCAAGCTTACAAAAGACAAAGAAAATTGAAAAGTATATGCAAGAACAGAAAATAACGTGGAGGTTATAACTTGAGGTCAACCTATAGAAAAAAAAAAGGACTATGGCCTCTATTAAGTAATAATGAGATGAGTAATCATGCCTAAGTCAGACGAGTAATCATGCCTAAGTCAGATGAAAGTGCTGTCTAATCAAAACATGTTCAGTGGTTATCTAGAATGATAACACATAGCTATATAGTCTCTACATCGTCAACTGGATATTCTCTGCTCTATATATTGTTTCCATTTCTATGTTCAGTACATCAATTAACTTCATTGACTGTATTTTAAAGGATATCATTTAAAAATCACAAACCACGATACCATATCAATATCCAACAATCAACTTTACAGAGTAAAACAGATAAGTAACCACCTAAGTTTCCGAGGGTCCCCCCCCCCGCCCGGCTGATTAATATCAGTTATGTTTAGTGTGCCATTATTCATCAGTCAGACCAAACAGTAACACGACCATTATTTGTTCAGTGAACTCTAATTAGGAACAATCAGCACCATGACTACAGCACTGGAAGCTTCTTCAAAGCTATTTGTGAAAACCTTCACAAATCAGCTTACTACTTAACTTAACCTCCAAAGCTTTAATGAGAAAATGCTTAGATTGTAATCATGCAGATGATGTACTACCAAAAATTATCACGAGAAACATACTAACTAAAACTTAAAGCCAACACAGGGAAGCCCAACTATTACACTATCAAAATGTAAACTTGAAACCATCAAATTTGTGTTACTCAGTTTATCTTTCCTTCTTTTTTTTTCCTTTTCTTTCTATTTTATTTTTTGGGTCTCAAATACGACAAAAATGGGAACATAATTCATACCCTAAGGTTAATGCTCATACCCATGCTTCCATCCATTGTGGCCCTTCAGCGCCATCCAAAGCGCAGCCAGCTATAGTGCCATCAATCAAAAGCTGCTTTACCGCACAATCATCTATTAGCTGACTACTACCTGTATTCACAATAAATGCTCCTGCAGACAGGAAAGACAATCCATAAATTCAATAATGATGGTCCATTGGCATTACAGAAACCAAATTATAAAAATATTCCGAGTGCCAAGATAACAACAAAATATACTTCTAGAATTACCAGGCTTTATTTGTTGTAGACATTCTGCATTGATAATCTGCATAGTGTCATTTGATAGTGCACAATGAAGAGATATAAGATCACTAGCAGCCAATAAATCATGTAGTGTGTCCATTCTTCGAGCAGCAGGGGGGAATGAAACAGATCTCCGTGTTGATTTTCCACTTCCCTTCAGTAAATGAATTAAGAAGGTGAGGACCTCAGATGTAATACACAAATGTAAAGCAAACAATCACTAAATGCACTTAACAGACACAAAATTGATCCATTTTTAATTACTATATAATGCCTTAAGTTACCCATTTTTCTTGATGACCTAAATTCAACACAAAAGTTCTCCACTGGTTAGATCATGTAGATATCTGATTAACTGGTGAGAAACGGAACGTCCATAATATACTGGTTATAACTTATGAAGCAAGACTGCAGCAAATTTGTTATTATCTAAGATGCAAGGTCAACATTAGACCACCAAATTTAGAAGACAACATCCTACGATAGCAAGCACCAGTGGTCCAATTTAGCATATTGCTTTAAATTAACAGAAATTATTATTTAACATCGTTTTCATCCATAGAAGGAGAATCTTATAAAGCCAATCTGCAAAGCAGTACAAATGTCCATTTTAAAATGGATTGTAAATGGAAGAGGATAATTACACTTTTCCAGAGTGATATGGAAACTATAGGTAAAGGTTTAAATGTTATACCTTTAATTTTCTTCTAAATTGAGTATCTTATCTCAAACATTTATCAGCTATTAGCCAATCTAAGGCCTAAGAAGGATAAATCTTAGGTTCACAGGAAATCCTTTTTCCCAAAAAAAAACCACTTGCTTGGTTGACAAACTTACTTACAAAGAGCTGCAAAGGCTATTCACAATGCAGCATCCCCAGCGTATGAACATCGGTCTAAACAGAGTTGCAGAGTGGATTAAACGCTAGTCTATGTCAAATGTAGTTTCTAACTATCCAAAGTATCAACACCCCTTGAATCTTTCTTTTCTCATTCCCCTAACTATTTCACTAAATAAAAGTATCATAAAACAACAAGTTCCTCTTTGGTTCAAACAGGGTTCAAGAACATCCAAAACTCACTCTCAGTTTGCCAATGTTGCGTCAAATGTTATCGAATGACAAAGTTCTACAAATGCCCCAAAAAAATGTCATGACAAATATTAAAGAATGGGAAGGGTGTTATACACTAGTACTGCCTCTTTAGCTTAACTAGGGTTCAAAAAACTGCCAAAATAACTTCCACATTGCCTTAAAATCTAATCAATAAACCAACTTTATACCTCATGGAGATCAAAGTAAAGCACGCTCATCTTGAATGCCAGACTCCTCGTCGCCAAGCACCTCGCCGACGCTGATCTCCCCACAATCCCCAAAACCAAACCCCTACACCTCCTCATCCCCTTACATAGCGGCGCTGCCCGATCACCGATTCCAACGCCACGCCCGACGAGGACGACGAATACCTCGACAGCTGGTCGTCCTCCTCAGCAACCCTAGAATAAGCGCCATCACGGTGGTCAGCCACCTCGTCAGCTCGATCCACGTCCCACGTGGACAACCGGAGCCCTAGGTCGGCGGCGAGGCGGAGTCGACGGAGCGCGTCGGTGGATCCGAGGCAGAGGATGAGCTGCCATGGCTGGAGGCGGCGCTGGGCGCGCGCCGCGGGAGGAAGGCGAGGGAGTGGACGATGACGGCGGCGGCGGACTCGCATCCGGCCGGAGCGAGGTGGGGAGAGGCCGATGTGCTCGACGGCCGCGACGCCGGCAAGGGTTTCCTGCTCGAAGGAGGGGTCTTCGAGGCAGTTGAGGGTGATGACGAGGGGGACGGCGGCGCGCGCGCGCGACACTGGATCCGGGTTTGGATCGGTTCGCCGGCGGTGGATACCGCCGTGTATGCTTGTGCCGTCGCTCATTATGATTGGATTTTTTTAAAGCTTTTTTGGGAATTTATTGTGTTTTTTTTGTGGTGTTGACCGCCAGACTGCAGTGAGAAGAGAGAGAGAGCGGATGACGGTCACGAGGGAAAAGTATACGGACGGAATTGGGCTTGACTTTGGATTATTTCCACCTTTGTCCTAAATTTGGTTGTTCTTTGCTTGGTTTTTCTTTTCTTCCTTTTTTTCTTTTTTTTTGGACGGGGGGTTGTAATTTGTACGCTATTTCAATTTAAGGTTTCAAAGAACTTTGAAGGTTTAAAATAGAAAATGCAAGGTTATCTATCCAGTATATATGAGACTCAGATTTAAAGAAAACTTTATTTGTTGATTTGTTAGTTCTACTAATTTTACTTTTTAAAAATTGTGCCCACGGAACTGTGCAAAATATATCTCTTGTCATACCATTTTTTAAAGGAAAAATTGCTTCTAGGCCCCCAAATCCAACTTTCAATGTGCCTTAGCTTCCCAACTTTCAACAATGTGTTGCAGCCCTTTTTTTTTTAAAACATTGTGCGTAGGCCCCTCTCCCCAAGTTCTAATGCAACCTCTTCAAAAATCCGAATTTTACCCCTCCCCTACACCCCCCTCCTCCTCCTCCTCCGTTCCCCCTCTGCCTCCGCCCCGCCTCCCTCCCCTCCCCCTACACCTCCTCCCCCCCCCCGCCTCCC